AGAATGTAGAACATATACTAAAAATTACTTGTGAGAATTGTTAATTAGTGACTCTATTTCCAATTATATTTACAAATTTTTGCTTTTAATTAATATGTATAATACATGTTTCCTATAATTTCAAACTTTAATGTTCTGAATTCTGAAAATAAGAAATGAGATAATAATCGCCATTTCTATTTTAAGAATACTAAAATTAATTGGTTGTAATTTTAATAGAAAACAAATGCTTTTTACTTCTAAATAAATATTAATTATTACATAAGAATAATATTGTTTGGAATTGGAATGTAATAATCATGGTGTTTAAAACTAAAGATATTGAAATACATCCTATTGTAAAACATACTCATATCAAACTTAATATAAAGTAGAAAATTACTTTTTGAAACATTTAAATTTCACAAAATTTGAATCGAATTTTCATTAGAGACCAACAACCTTAAATTTAATAAGAAGTTACTTTAAAAATATATCAAAATAATAAAATTACATTTCGATACTGAATTTTATTCTTTCGGAGGAAAATTATCCAATCACTACCTTGATCATTAAAATAGGAAAGACTAAAATAGATTAATTGTTAAGCTAGCTAATTTTTAAGATATCAAAAAGACTCTACCTAATTGGAACTTTAGAAATTTTTTAAAAATAACCCTAAATTTATATATTCATATTTACATATTGTTTAACAAAATTTTTTAAGAGAAAAGCAAGAAACCTAAATTCAGATAGTATTTTTGTAACTATTTCTTGTTCATTTATAAGTATTCAACCATAAATTTTTTGAGATATTCAAGAACAGGGAAAATCACATTATAAAAAATTCTTTAAAAAAAATGAAAATTATTTTTTCATTAATATATATAAAATCAATTAAACAAAAATTTGGCAGTCTCTCTGATTTTGATCAAGTATGAGGTTTTATTACAATTATCTTCATTCAAAATATTATTAAAGAAAAAATGTCATTGAATAGAGTTTAAATAGCTTAAAGTATCAAATATGATCATACATCAACAATCATATGAAAAAATCAATGTCTTAGGGGTATTATTCAAAATATTTTAGATTAATTATAGTCAATTAACTCGAAAGCCAAAAACTATAAATTATCTCTTTAGATCTTGATTTAGAGATTCTACCAAGATTAAGCATAAATCTAATTAAACATTTATTTAAAGTATAAAATCATCAGAAAATAATAATTTATCTAATAAAATTTTAGTGGCTAGCATCTTTAAAAGTTAAATTAATAAATATTTTAGAATTTGTAATTAGTAGAATGAATACAAATACTTTTTTTTATCTTTAATACTTTTATCAGAATCACACCTTATATATTCTTTAATAGTAATCTAACAATAATTAATTGATATTTGAAATTTTTTACACTATCATCTAAAAATAGTATAGTTAGATGATTATTTATAATTAATGTTAGAATAACTGAAAGAATACTTATTTTATTTATTTTTCATTATCCTATATTTTTTTATTTAATTTCATTTTATATCTAAAAATAATATAATATGATGCAGAAAAATAGAAGGGTTTAATCAGAATCAAAGTAAATAGGGCTAAAAAAGGGGGAATTACATAATTATGATTTTCACAAAACCAAAACTGGCAATTTAAGCAAGGATATTCTGGACCACATTTAAAACTGGGATTAATACAAGGAAAAGGAAAATAGTGAAAAAAAGGAGGAATAATATAAAATTTAAAAATTTTATAAAGACCTAGAATAAAACCATTCATTTATATAGTGGATCTTTCCTAACTTCTTCAAGAGCATGTTTAATTCTGATTGCTATAGATTAACAATTGAAGAGAGAAATTTAATGATTGAAAATGATGAGGTTAAAAATATATTTTTATATCTAGATAAGGAAATTCTATGTCAATAACTATAAAATGTTTTTAAAATTTTTAGGTATTGAATGGAATAATGAAATATTAAAATTAGTGAATAAAAATTAATTTTAGACTTGTCTTAGAATTAATAAACACAATTAGTTAAGATTAAGGAGAGTATTGGCTTCTTTAAGTGTTTTAGGATAAAGAAATCTAGCTTTGTAATTGTTGGAATTTTTATAAAAATATGATAACTAGCTTTATGGCACTTAGTATTATCTTTATGATTCTGTTAAAGAGGAATAGTAAAATGATCTCTAAAATTAAGAAAAAAAAAAATATTCAAATTAAGATGGATAATAAAATTAAATTGGAAATTTTGAATAAGAAGAGATAAAAATAAAAACTGGTATTAAGTAACCTGGTATTTAAGAAGAAAAAGTAGAACATTTCCAATAAATAGATCATTCTCTTGTTCAAAAGTAAGGATTTAATGAAGCTTAAAAGAAAAATCAAGAAGAAAAATTTAATTCATCTAACTTTAACAATCAATAATTTTTAACTTAAAAGACACCTAATATTATTTAAGGCAAGTATGAAAGAGCATAATTTTTATTTGAGTTTGATGAAGTCAAGAAATATTATGTGTAGGGAGATTTATTGAATTAAGCTTGGGTAACAATAAATTTATTTTCTAAAAAAAGAATAGATACATAATTACAATGAGCATTATTAAAAAAGAAAATGAAAATTAAGTATATTAAAATAAACTTTATAATCCTTGCTTCTTAATTTTGTAGTTTATATTGTTTTTAAAAAAAAAGATCTTTTATACCAAATAGAAGTAAAGGTATTTCTTAATTTTCCTTATTGTTTTATAAATATATTATAATGAATAAAAATTTTATTAAATATTTAAAATGTTTCGATTTCATTATATAAATAAAACAATTAAAAAGTAATCTTAGAGGATATTTTATGAATTTAAAATATTTATTATATTTTTGTAAATAAAATATCAATACTAATCGTAATTATATTTAATTAATTTATTTATATTAGAAATAAAAATTATTTTTCTTTCGAGTGGCATTTTCTTTTTAACACCATTTTAAACATATTAAAATAGTCATTATATCATAGAAAATTATTAAATTTTTCCTTTGAAACAATTTAATAATTGAAATAAATAATATCAAATCAATATTTATTCTTAATAATTCTCAGAATTTATTGATCTAAAAGAATATTAATAAAGTATCCTAATCTTTAGATGATATTTATTTAAAATATGTCTTAATTTAAATTGGTCATGGAAGGTTAGAGAAAGATTTATTATTATTGGTATTTAAATCATTTTTTAAATTGGAGAAAATTAAGTAGCGGATAGAAGATAAATTTAGTTACATAAGTTATATTACAGAGTTGATTGTTTTATTAAATTCCTTCAATATTTTCTTATGGTTTATTCACATTTTTGGAGTATTTCTGTCTTTTTACTAAGCAATAAGATTAGTTATATTAAGGCTTGTTTAGTAATTTATGATTTCAAAATAAATTAAACAATCTTTTAATTAATAATTTAAGAATAAGTGATAAAATTCTAAATTTTGGCTTATAAAATAACTCATGATTATTATATAAAACAAATAAAAAATTTTTACAGCATTTATTATAAGAATAATAATATGGCTTAGGTATGGAAGTGAAAAGTTTAGAAAAAAAAATATTATTCTTAATTTAGTCTATTTATATAATCTAAATTTTAAGGAGGATTAAACTATATTGAGAGGACTTTAAAATATTAAAAAATACTAAAAAATTAATAAGAACAAATAAAAAAAATTCAAGTAATTTTATACACTCAATAATTGTCATTTTAGAAGGAAAAATGAATAAATAAAATATTTAGAATAGATATTTAAGAATATCTAGAATTATTTGTATTTTTGGATTAAAAGAATTTGGATTTTATTGTTTGATTGAATATATTTTTTTTGAAGAATAAAAATGTTGTTATGCCAGGTTTTGTCATCTTTGAGATTAATTTAAATCGCTTCATTCCAACATTCGATTGCTTCTTAGTATTTCTATAATCTGCTTAAGACCCTTAAACATAATGAAGGAATATAATGCTAAACCTAAATAGTATTGCTTATAAATTAATTACCCTTGTTGTTCCAGGCTTTTTCATATTTAGAATTAATTAAAATAGCTTAATCATAATATTCAATAGCTTCTTAGTAATTTTATAACTGCATAACGTCAAATCTAATTTCTAATAAAATTAATAATACCTTCATTACATATTCTTTAAACTTCATAAAAATCACACTAGTTTTAATTCTCACTCACCACCTTAATTTCTACGCTTTTGGCATCCTTTTAATGATGAATTATACTTTATAACTTCATTTCAACACATACCCATCATTATTTAAGAATAAAAGAAAGGAATTAAATAATTTATTATTCATTTTTAACATACTCAAAAATTGATTAAATATATTATCTAAATATTTTCATTCCATGCTAGTTACTGTTAATATTTCATGATATAATTCAAATAGATATTCCTTTCTTAGTAAAATAAAATGTCTTATATTTACTAATAAGATATTTCTGATTAAAGCGATCAGATCTCTTGTGACAGATGCGAAACCTAATTTAAGATTCAAATAATTAATAAAAATGTTATTCTGATAATAAAGTGAAATCTACATAAAACTTCAAGAGTTGAGAAGGCACTATTTAACTAAATTGACTAGACACTACACACCATTATGCAACATTCTTCAATTGGCTAAGCAATATCAGCTAATCAACCACAATCATAAATTAGATAATTCTTTTAGATTTTGATTAAAACTCGTTATGTTTAAATAATATTATTTAAGTTATATATTTTGACCAGAAGAGTTTTATAAGAATATATTTAAATTCTATTAATAAGATTTACCTTATAAATTTATAAACAAAAAGGGAATCTATTAAAAAAAGTGAATAGAGTAATGATCATGAAAGAATAAATAAATAATACTAATAATAAATTATTAAGTTCTTAGTTTAAATTTTAATATTAAAACATATACAATATCTAAGCAAACTAGATGAAAATAATTCTAATATTTCTACTCAGCAATTAGACAGTAGCCAGTTAATATTAATCTGTTCATCACATATTTTAGCTTTGTGCAAAAGGCTAAATAAGAATTAGGTGTGAAGAGACATATTAGATTCGAGCATTTCTAGTTTAATGTTCATAAAAATATTGAGAATATTCGTCCCTAAATATATTTAAAGGATCAAAAACAATGAACAGAATTAATAAGATTTATATTATCAATAGAATTAAGCCTAAGTAAAATTTTAAATCAAATATAAAAAAACAAAGGGATATTTTTATTATGAGTACCAGATTGGTGTAATTTTTTGGAAAGATTAAAGATGACTTATTGTTTTTAGTTTATTATGATGATTATCTCCCTATAAAGAAAATTTTAGTATTCCCTATTTTCTTTGGCTAAAGTTTTTTAGTATTTAACTAAACTATATCTGACTAGATTAATAAATTAAATATAAATGAAACATAATTAACAGGAATTATTCTATTTAGTTTGTTATTAAATAAAAATTTAGAAAATAGAGATTTTCTATTGTCTTAAGCCAGTTATTTTATAATTTAAAAGTAAAATTCATTTTTTTGATTTAAATTTTTAAAAACACTGTTTAAAATCTAGTGATAAAGACAAACAAAAACTAAATAATAATATTTTGCATCTTTAGTATCAATACCCTTATTCATCTAAATTTTCTACAAAAGAGTTCAACCAACAAAAATTGAATTCTCATTTCCTAATCCTAAAATAGAATAATCGTCTTTTGATAATTAGTTTCGAAGAAATGATTAGTAATAACTCTAAAATCTGAGAATTGTTTAAAAAATTATGAGTGAAAAATGTTTTTGATAAACAAATTTCAAAAATATTATAATTTTTATTACTTTTCTTAATTTTCAATAGATATAACAAAAATATATTTAATTGTAATAGATAAAGTACAGTTTAATTCTAATTAGAGGTTTGAATCACAAGGAAATATTTAAAATTAAGTTAATACGAGATAATTGTATTTATTGTAGATTGTTTGTGTTTTTATATCTTTAGATTTAAAAAAAGGATTTATTTATTAATTTAAATTGAAATTCTTGCTGAATATATTTTGAGCAATTAATTTCTTTTAAATAAGAGCAAATCTTATTGTTAACATTTTACTCTGTTTTTTATATTAACTAATAAAAGTAATTAATGATTTAAATTAAAATGATAGAAAAAGAGAATTTAAGATGTTCCAAAAATCATAATCATCCGATAAGTTAAATAGATGTAGGAAAAGATGTTTAGATGAATGACAGGCTATTATGCAGTGAATGCGTGTTAAATATTAAATCAAGTGTGAGCATTTTAGGTTTAAATATTATTTAATCAGAAATTGAAAATAATATTTAAGAGAATTTAAATTTGAAAATCTCATTTATTACTTAGAAAAAGGAAAATCTGGCAAAATTGTAGAATGATATTAATAAATGGAAATTAAAATTTAATTAAATAATTGATTCAATTATAGAAGAGTTAGATTATTACATGAATAGTTTAATTGCTAAAGAATAAGTTAATTATACATATAACTTTATAAAGGAATTGGAAAATTTTATCAATTAATCAGAATCTCATAAAAAGGATTATGAATTATTAGTTGAGTAAATTATTAAGATTACTAGTTTATCAATTAATAAAATTTAATTAAAATTAACCAAATTGAATTCAGAATAGAGAAAATATATAGCTGAAACTAAAAATTCCTTATCAGAAATTGTTTAAATTTAATAGCCTAAAATCACTCTTAAACCTATTAATAATCAATTAAAATAATCAGATTATTGTTTTGCGATTGCCTTTAACTATACTAGATAAATTATGGTTTCTGGTTGTAATTAAAATATGAAAGTCTGAGATTTTAAAGATGGCAATTTATAAGAAGTTTAAACATTATCAGTTCACAAAAATGATATAACTTGCTTATTATTTAGCAAGGTATAAAATAGTTTCATTTCTGGATCAGCTGATAAGACAATCAGATGTTGGAAACAGGTAAATGGAAAAGAATGGAAAAGTTAATAATTCTTTGAAGAACATACTGATAGGATTGAATGTTTATTATTATGTAAAAATGAAAAAACATTATTTTCTGGAAGTGATGATAAATCGATTAAAATATGGTAAGTTGATTTAGATAATAATAATCTAAAATTCTCGTATTCTTTAATGAAACATACTCATGATGTTTATGGGTTATCATTAAATGAATCAGAGACTTTTTTAGTTTCATGTGGTGGAAATAAATAAATAATAACTTGGAAAAAAGCAAAAGACCATAAATGGGAATTTTAGTAAATCGTTAAATAATCAATAAATGAAATAGGAGCTATTATCTGTTTTATTAAAGAAGACCAATTTATTTGGGTAGGAGGAATTAAAAATGGAAAAGATTGTGTAAGTTACTTTGAACTAGCTAGTGGGAATTTTGTAGAATAAAAAGAAAAAGAATAACAGTTAATAGTATCCTCTGAAGTAGCGAATTATAATTTTTTTCCAATTCTTTTTAACAAAGAGAAGGAGATTATATTATTCAGACATAAATTTCATGTTTATTTACTAACAAAATAAACTCATGGTATATATAGAATTTCAACAAAATTGAAATTTGATAGTGCTTTTATATTTGGAACTATGACAAATGATGCTAAATTTATTATTTTATGGGAAAAGTCCCTCTAGAATTATTCAATTTATTAAATTGAAGTGAAATGATTTTTAATTATATAAAACAAAATATAATTTTATAATAAAGTTAATCATATCTACCGTTTAAAATAGATAATATCATTGTAAATCTTTAATGTGATAGAATTTATCAAAATTTTTTTATGTTTTAAAATATTATAGATTTTCAACATAAATATATCATAATAATTTTTAAGGAATTTATCCATGCTTACTTTACTTTAAGTTCTTTTTTTTTTGAGATTTCTTACCAAAAATTTTCCTACTCTACAGTGAAATATGAACAACTAGAGCTTAAATTGTAAGCTGTTATATAGCAAGGACAAATTTTAACTCTTTTGTAAAAGGAAAGTTAGATCATAATAATTTATCAATTTCCTAAAATAAATGATAAAAAGCAAAATATTACAAATAAAGTGAAAAAAAGAATTAAATCAATCTTATTACAGGATTATTGATGCTTTCAAAATTTTATCAATATTCATAGTATTTAAATTTATAGGATACCTGATCCTAGCATTCTAAACAACTAACTTGTAAAAACTAATAATTCACAGGATTTGGATTGAAAGGTTACATTTAATGGCCTAAAAATACTTTTCTAAATAAATAAAACCTCATTTATATATGCAATTATATGGCAATTTTCCAAAGAACTAAATAAGATATGTCAACTTTATGAATGAATTTTTTCATCAGTATTTCTATATCCAGAATAGAAGCACTATTTAGTAACTCTAAAAAAAAATAATGATAACAGCTAAAAAATCCTGTATGCAAATATAGTATTATTGAGCATTGTTATGATGAATAAAAATTCGGCTTATTGATAATATATTTATAATTTATAACCAAAAGCTAAATTTCAATAAAAATTGAATTGAAAATTCTAATTTGAAAAGTGACTTTACATAAGGTTAAGTGTACCATTGGAATCTAAGTTTTTAATTGAGCTACAGGAGTGGAATTGTGACTTACAGCAGCATTTGCTAATTTTATTGAAATAAAGACAAAATTAAGAATAAAGTTATATTTAATAAAATCATTTTACTTGATATTTGTTAGCCTATTTTATAAAATTAAAATTTTCTCTAAAAGCATGCTATCTAATTTTTAACTTTTTAAATTTAATAACAATCAGATAGGATTATTCTTTTCATTTCTTATATTCAAATTAGTAAAAGAAATTAAACTATTCAGATTTTTATCAAAACTTTATCTTTAGCTGAGCTTAATTGAATCTCAAGTAGCAGCCAACTTGAATCCCTTTGATAGAATGGAAATAAGGAAATCAGCTAGAAGTCTTAAGTTTTAACATTACAAACAGATTAGACTTTAAAATTTACAGGCCGCCTTGATATTAGTGTGTTAGTCTTTCAATAATTTACTTTTTAAATCTTGTAAATTTGATATTAGAAAATTATCACAAGTAGCAAAGCATTGCATTATTTGTTGCAAAAATTTATCGTCATGATTTGGATCATTCATTTTTTTTTGATTAACCTTTGCCCTCTGATTGCGCATTTTTATTAGTAATTACGTAGTTGTTCCTCTAAATCCTAAAAACTGATTATGAAATTCAAAACTTTTAGAATGTTGGAATCTGTTAAATCACCATCATAAGCTGAAGTAAATATTCACAATAACTTTTCATATCAAATTTAAGAAATTTAATCAATCCTAAACACAAAAAAGTAAATACCATTCAAAAGTATAAAAAACCAAAAAAATATTTATCAAATTAAAGAAAAAAATAAATTGGTTTAGCCCCAGGATTAATTTTGTGTATATATAATTATTACCATTTTCTTTTATTTCAATACTTATAATAATTTTCACTTAGTTGCTTACTCTACTTTATATCTATTTCGACCCATTTACCAATCTTCATACCTTTCAAATCATATTCACCTGTCTATGTTATCCACCATCTATTTCCAATTTCAACCCAATTTCCGATCTTTATTTAATCTTCTTCACTATATGATCCACCACCACTAATATAATATTATTGATCTATGCTGAGATAATATTTACATTTTTTAATAATCTCCATTTAAATATTTATCATGATTAATATCCCACCTACCCACCTTCATACCTTTAATATTATATTCGCCATTATAAAGAATGAAGGCATAATTTTCAAAATTTTCCCACAACTCTACCCATTTCCCAATCTTAATTTAACTCTCTTCATTTCCATATAATCCACCCCCACTAACATAAGATCATGGCTCTATACTTTTTAAATATTTACATTTATTTGTATTCATTTTCATTCTTCTTACAATAATTAATATCCCATCTACCTACCTTGATACCTTATATATTATATTCACCATTATAAGTGACTTATTTCAACCATGTAAACCCTTCATCTATCTCTACCCATTTTCCAATCTTTATCTAATCTTCTCCCTCCCCATATGATCCACCACCACTAACATATGATCATGCACCTATACTTAGATTTATTTACATTTATTTATATTCTTTTAATTAATTTCCTTTGGAATCATACCCCTTAAAAAATATATCCCATCTACCTACTTTCATTTGGTTTTTGAATGATCCAACTTATATAATAGATTTGCTATTAATTTAAAAAAGCTAATTACTTTTCACTTCTATAAATTTCATTTCCATTATCATCAAAATTGATACAACCACTAAAAAAAATTACAGAATAATATTTACCATAATGGATTTTCAAAATTTAAATTTAAAATATACCATCTACCGACCTTTTTCCCGTTCGTATTGTATCCACCTTTATGGACGACTTATTAAAAATTCCAAAACCAATCCTACAACTCTATCCACTTTCCAATCTTAATCTAAGTCCCTCCCTTATCATAAGATCCACCACCACTAATATATCATTATCCTTTATTCATATAACATTTACATTTATTTATATTCTCCATTTCCTTTTCTATCATGACTAATATTCCATTTACCTATCTTTTTCCCTTTCATATTATATTCACCACTAAAAGTAATCTATTTATCCCAATTAAACCTTTCATCCAATTCTACCCATCTACCAATCTTAATAGAACCCTTTCCTTTATAATAAGATCCCCCACCACTAATATATCATGATGCACCTATATTCATAAAATATTTACATTTGTTTGTATAATCCATTTCCAAATCTATCATAACTAATATTCCATCTACCTACCTTTCTCCCTTTCATATTATATTCGCCATAATAACAAACTTATTTTCTCAAATGAAAACGTTCATCCAACTCTATCCACCTTCCAACCTTAATCTCAGCCCTTCTATTATCATATGATCCACCCCCACTAATATGTAATTATTCACCTATGCTCATATAATATATACATTTATTTAAATTCTCCATTTCCAAAAATACCATAACAAGTATCCCATCGACCTACTTTGATACCTTTTGTATTGTATTCGCCATTATAAATGATTAATTTATTATTATAAAATCGTTCATCCAACTCTACCCATCTTCCAATTTTAACTTAATTTTTCTCACTATATGTTCCACCACCACTAATTAAAAATTGGCCCCCTATTCTTAGATTTATTTACATTTATTTATATTCCTGTTATTAATTTCCTTTGAAATCAAACCCCTTATATCTAATATCCCATCTACCTACTTTGAAACCATTTTTGAATGATCCAACATAAATAATAGGTGTACTATTTATTTTAAAAAGCTAATTACTTTTCACTTCTTTAAACTTCAAATCCATAATCATCAAAATTTATGCAACCACTATGATTTACTTAATATGATTACCATTCTTAAATTTCATTTTTTAAATTTAAAATATTCCATCTACCAACCTTTAAACCCTATATATTATATTCTCCATTATAAATGATTTATTTATCCTCATTAAACCTTTCATCCAATTCTATCCACTTTCCGATCTTAATTTAACCTCTGTATGATCCACCACCACTAATAAATTATATATATTTTTTACATTTATTAATATTCCTTCTAATTTTTCCATCTATACAATATCTACCATTCTCCAACTTTTTCCCCATCTTCAAAGTCTCCCAAATATATTACAGATTCCCTATATATTATAATATCGAAATTATACTTTTCACTTCTATAAATCTCATTTCCATTTGAATTATAATTTATACAACCACTAAAAAATCCAAAAAATATTTAGTTACCATAAAAAAATATGATTATTAGATTTTTCGTAAATATCCCATCTTCCATTTTTCTTTCCTTATTTGAAATTTCCAAAGTAAATTATAGGTTCCCTAAAACTTATTCTAAAAAGAATACTTTTCGTAACTGTAAAGTACTTTTCCATTTGAATCATAATAAATACACCCACTAATTAAATCAATTAATATTATCTTTACCACAACAAAAAATGAACTTTAGATTTTTCGAACATGTCCCATCTCCCAACTTTTTAGCCTTTGAAATTATATTCCCCCTAATAATAAAAACAATCAGAAAACTCAACCCACTTCTCAATTTTGAAGCCAGTGCTTTAATCATATAATCCACCACCGCTATTGATTTATTAATTATTAATTACATTGATGTAAATTAATCACAGCTTTTTAACCTCTACAATATATTCCACCTTCCAAATTTTTTACCGTTTTAATAATTGCCACTTTGTATAATTTACTAATCCCATCTAAATTGATCACACGGTTCTATCCATTTTCCAATTTTTTCCTTATTATATTATCCACCTCCTCTAATAATTGTTAAAAATATTTATTCTTACATTTCTTCATTATTATTATTATACCAATTTTGAACCCATATGCCTATTTTTTACCCATTCTAATACTATCCATTTTAAAGTAAGATGGAATAATAGTTAGTCTGGTCACATAGCACACACCATTTACCGATTTTAAATGAACCTTAGGAAAAATTTTAAAAGTCATAATTATATTCACCACCTCCACTAATTGATATTTTATATAGAGAATTTTGATACATTTTTATAAAATCTTAATTCCAAATTCCTTTAATAAATAAATCCCATTAACCCACCTTTTTACCATCTTTATAATTTCCATGAAAAGTAATTAGGTAATCCTTATTAATTTTATCACTCAATTCAATCCAATCACCACTTTTAAATGAGACGCCTTATTAATCATCAAAATATGAGCCACCACCACTAATTTTATCACTTAAATTTTACATCTATTAATTGTGTAAAAAAGTATCCCATCTACCAATTTTTTAGTTGCTTCTATATTCACCCTTAAATTTGACTTAGTTGAAGTCACAAAAACTTTCATTTACTTCTAACCATAGTCCAATCTTTTCACTTTTAAGGTTATATTCTCCACCACCACTATTTTATATTTATCTAATCATTTTATACATCTCTTGTTCTTTATAAAAAATTTTCCAAATTCCTATACGATTATTATTTACATATTCTCCTACTTCAAATACTTAAGCTTCACTATTATTTAGAAAAGGATTAAATTTTACCTCCAAATGTTTTTTATCATTTCCTTCCATAAGCCTGTCTTTTTATCATCTGAGTATAATAAAAATTTTTTTACCTCTATAATCACCTCCAACATTAACCAAAGTTTATCCGTTCCATTTAGCTATCCATTTTCCATCCTTTTGGTTATTTTTCCCATAATTTCCAGACCAATTAAGATAATTTATTTAATCTAAATTATTCAATATGTCTTGCTAAGAAAAAGTGTCATTCAGTTAATCCCTAATTAAGTAAATATAGGAAATACATTCTAATTAATTATCCATCTTTTAAATAAAGTATGCTCTTTTTAATAGCTATTTAGAATATATTCTAAATATATCTTCCAGTTTTTTAATCCCAATTCAAAACTTTTAGCTCTTTTCCTTAATTCTTTTGGTGATTTTCTATAGGTTTAATTCTAAATAAATTTATATTAATTACTAAGAGATTTCTACTTGAATTTATTCTTTGACTTTCTTACTTAAATTGATTATTTCTTCTTCAAAATAAGTTTTTACCTTCTTTAATTGAATTAAATAAGCATTTTTATAAGTATCCCAATCTTCCAAATATCTTTCATCTAAGATTTAAACTAATTTTTCTAAATTTTTAAAGGAGGATGATTCTCCTATAGTTTCCAAAAGCTGATGATATAATAATTCTTCCTATTCAATTTGATCTTAAATCTATTTAATAGATTCAAATATATCTTCCCATAATTCTTTCATTTTAATTTCGATTTAAGAAAGTAGTTACTTAAAACTCATCTTATGCAGATTGTATCCTTTTAACTTTTTGGTCATCAATTCAAAAAACTAATTTATGGGAAAATTCATGGGTTATGTTAGTCTTACCTTTGCATCATGTTCATATATGCACTCTGTGCAAAGTTTTTATTTGAATACTTGAGAGGCCATGTCTATCATTTGGCTTCCAACATGTTAAGAACAATTCATTTTTATAATTAATAACAAAATTTCTATTACTTTTGTTAAAACTAAATGAGTATTAAGAAAATTTATTTTTCAAACATTGGTAACAAACAATTATTTCTGTAAACCTTAAAATTAATCAATATTTAAATGCTTTCTAAATATGATACATCTTAAACTTAAAGAAATGAAGAATATTTGAAAAAATCTTTCTTTGAGATTTCAAAGTAAAGTAACAAAATGCAATACATTTCTTTTCTGACTCATTATAGCCTTAATCTAATGCAAAAATAAGAAAGAAATATTCTGTTTATTTTTAAATAGTTAATGTTGATTTTTTAAATTTAACTAATTTAGCTGCAAAAGTACTTGAAGAATAAAGAAGTATTTTATTTATTCAATACAAAAAATATTATTTAATAAACTAGTTTAAAACTCTTTGAGATTAAAAGCTATTTCTGATAGAGATAGCTTTCCATATCATATTGATTTTGCGGCAAAGATTGCACAATAAAACTTAATTACTTACATCTAAAATTGAAAGACTGAATTTGAGTAAGGATTAAAATTCATTTAATATCCAAAATTACTTTGTATTGATTATTTTTTATTAACAAAAATTCTAATTTTTCTTGAACTATTTTCTAAAAATTTTCTTATGGGCTCTTGATTCTCACAAAAGACAATTTTGCAAGTCTTCTTGTTGCATAATTGAAATTTTGACTTAATTTATTGATAAAGTGATGAATATTTTTTATTTATTGGCGATTACAAAATGGCTACCTTTTATAAATGAATAAATTTAATTAAATTAATAATCAACAGCTTTTTATCCTCCACTTGGTTATATTTTCTATGAATATCAAATATTTTGGTTCCATATCTCTATTCTGGATATAACTACATCAACTCTACATTTTCAAATTCAATTTATTCTTTTGAAAATACTAGATTCTTGATTTTGAATCTGTAAATCCATATAATCATAAATCTAAAAAGAAGAAAAAATTGGTGAAGAACTCTTTTTATGATATATTTTTATTTTTTCTGCAATATGCATCAAAGCATTTTAACGGATAAAAAACTTTCTTAGAACATTTTTTCTTAATTCTTGTATTTTTTGTTGTAGATGATAGAGTTCTCAATTCCTGTAGCTATTAGAAAAGCAATATAACCTTTATTGCCAATTGTTCCTAATAAGGAATTCATAATAGGTAGATTGCTGATCATCTATTAGGCCACTTATCTCTTAAGTGACTAAAATCTTGATGGATGAATATTTTTTCCAATTTAAGTTTTATCAATGTAAATTAATTTAGTCTATCCAGCTAGATAGAATGGCATCTATTTTAAATAATCATTCTTTTATTGCATCGAATGCTATTTTTTTTTTAGAAATTTATAAGTCACAATACAATACAATATTTTTTTACAAATCTGTAAAATAAAAGTTTTTTAGGCTAATGTATCTGAATTAGGTGATTTTTAAGGAATTCTTCATGTAATTCTACTGTGAAGTGATATCTTGGAACAACTTTATACTACCATTATAATTAAACCCATTCAGTCGGCTCCTTTTACCAGGTGAAAAGGTTAGATGATTCAATAGAATTCATTTTATTGATCTGCTTATAATTTTCCTCATCCTTTTCTTAATTTTTGTGTTGCTATTCCTCTTCTACTTTAATATCACCGATAAAAATCCCTAATTAGTATAAGGTATACCATCTCCTTTTAAAAATTACTCATCTGTTTTTTCGTTGATTTCCCATCTTGAGCATCTATATCCTTTGGATTATTAATTTAAATAAGAATCTAATAGATTACTGTAATAAATTAAAAAAATACAGAAATATTTGAAATCATAAAAATATATCATTCAAACCCTGTATGACAGTAGCTGCTAAAAATCAATTAAAGTTAAAATCTATTTTTCTCAATTTTTTATAATTTCAAGAAAAATCGTTGATATAAGTATGCTATTGGAGAATCATAACAGCATCCAAATTATCTACCAATTAAGAAAAAATCTAAAAATTGGTCAATGTATTAGGATTAATGAATACTATCAAATATTTCAAAAAGGTATTCTGAAAAATTTCATTATTATATGAATATGTATTTTTATAAATATCTTCTAAAAATCGATCCCCTGAAGGTGTATTATTTCTCAAATAATATCATTAAATTAAACATACTTTAGAAAATTTTTTATATGAATTCAATTTAATTTGTGCCGTTCTTAAATATTTAGCTTAGATTATCAGAAATTTTCAATGAATAAATTAGAACGATAAATTCAATTAAAATTTTTTTTAATTTTTTTTCAATATTAGAGCTATTATCATAATCTTGAATAATGTGAATGATGAAAATATATTATTATAAGTAGTACTAAAACAAATTGCCTATTTGATTTGTTATTGATAAATTCTGTTTCCTCTGGTTTATATTAAATTTCTAATTTTCTTTTATTTATTACTTAATTTTCTCTTGTCTTAGCAGATAGTAATTATTCACACCTTCTTTCAAATTGATTTTAATTAAAAATAGATCGGCCAAAATCTTGTATTACTTTTCCTACTGGGATCTTTTTTTCAAAATTATTAATAGTGAAATCAGTTTATACAAGCTTTTAATGATTCTTTTTCATAAAAGTAATCAGAGTAAAAAAGGCATCCAAATAAATAATTTTAATTTGAAATCAATACATAGTTTATTTTGCAAGAATTCAAAAAATATTTTAGACTCTATAAATTACAAAAGATTAGTAAAAATTTTCATGAAAATAAGAACGAAACTTAGAGGGGTTAGCATAAATTGTATAAATATGCTCTTTTGATTAGGTTTTATTGAAAAATATAAAATGAAAGATTTAAATTTAAAATAAAAATTTCTTCAATTTCAGAAAATTCAAAGAATTTAATATATTATATATTAATTAATTTAATATATTGCTAAATTATTATAATTAATGTAAAGAGCATTTGATATAAATTGGAAACTCGATTATTAAGTTATGAAAAAGGTGAAATTTTAAAAATAATATAGTGTTATGTAATTCAAAATTTATCTAAAACTTCAACTTTGCCATGTATTATAATTAGAGGGTATAAATCTTATTCATGATTGATTTCTAAATACTAATGTAAAATATATAAATTTACAAATTATTAAAGAGTTGATTTTTTAGTCCAAAATAAAGTTTTGAAATTCATGTTAATTTCTATTATTATTACGTCGTATTTAATAAATATGAATGATTACTAGACATCATTTTAGTTTTTTGATAAGTGAGAATAATTGTAACCTTAATTACTTATTAAGTATGCTCTAAGTTAAATATTGTATTTACCCATGTCCAATAAATTTAAAATTAGGAGTGTAATTGGATCTAATTATTATATCCTTATCGCCCACACCAATATTAATAAAAGTTTAAATATCTAATATTTTTAATGCAAATTTTGTAATTCCGGTCTTTGGAATCATTTAATTTCCAAAGAATAAACCTTGACCCTATACAAACTTTCCATTTTGTTAGATATCAACATATCTACATTGTTAATTTCCTTCAAATCTCACTAATAATTAATTAATTTTATTTATTTGAGTTTGAATTGGTTCCTTCTAATCATAATTTTATTTATATATCAATTTAATCTATTATTTATTACTTTATGATCCGAAATCATTTTCTATGTTCAATATATGTTTTTTTTCTAAGTTTTCCCATTCTTTTCCCATCAGCCTTAATAATTTTATTAATTCACTCAATTAAGGTAATAAAGTCTCTTAAACTAGTCCTAATTTTATAAATTAGTTAATTTATTAATCCACATTATGAATCTGAAATTATTATAAATTATTTAAGATGAACTCTTCAGCAGGCTTAATAAAGCTGCTTAATATATTTATGACTTAATGGCATTCCTAAATATTAAACTATATTTCCTTTATAATTTACACTCCTTAGACCATCTAACCTTTTATTGAATCAAATTCAACTAAACTATTTAAATGGTCTCTATGGTTTTCAATACATAACAAACAGTAAGGAGTTTAATTTTAGCATTCTTTTTTTGTACAAACTCCTACAATGGGATTTTTATGGTGACCGATCTTTTAACATTAATGATTTCCAAAGTTCATTTATAAAATTGATTAAAATAATTAATTTATTGAAATGTGTTATAAAGATTAATTATATATTATGAATGGTTTCAAATTTAATTGTAATTTTTGATTGTGTACAAATAATTGAAAATAAATAAATTTAAAGAATATCTATATTTCAATATCTATTTTTTGTGACCTATTCATGTAAAAATAATATATTTGTTTTCTAATTTATTTTTTTATATAAATCTAAAAAGCTATACAAAAAAAAAATAATTAGACTTGAATATAATAAATTTTATTTATAAATATCGATTTTTTAAACTAATAAATATTATTTAATAATTTATTTTAACATTGTTGATTTATCATTATCATATATTTGTATTTGTATTTACCTGCAGTTTGAAAAATTGCTTTAGCTTATATATATGAATTTATATATAATTAATGAAATTTAATTTTTTACATTTTACTAATTTATATGCATATTTTTGATA